AGAGGGAGACACAGACTCTGAAACAGGCTCCAGGCTCTGAGCCGGCAGTCAGCACAGAGCCTGATACGGGGCTCGAACCCACGAACCGCAAGATCATGACCTAAGCGAAAGTCGGACGCCTAACCGACTAAGCCACCGAGGAGCCCCAGAATTTGACTTCTACAATACTTAAGTAGCATCATCTTTTAGTTTTATTTTTCAGAATTGCTAGAAAAAGTTATATTTTTCAAACCTGTAGAAGAGGTATCACAGAATATCGTCAATGGCCGTGGCCTCCTGTGGCACACAGCATGTGAAAAAACTCTATGTACAGCCACCAGACCACAGAGTTAAAAGCATTTATGTATGTTTTCCTGTAGGGTCATATGTTTTTAAATAAAGTAGCCTATGATTTATTAAGTAAATACAATAAATAGAAGCTAATTCTGAAGCTTAACTGAGGCAGCATTTCATTTGCTATTTTTATGTTCTATGTGATTGATGGAGATGTGGAGGTGTTTCAGGACTTCACGCTTTTCTCTTGCCTGAAGTGTGACCACACTCACGGTCACCAGAATGTGGTTTAGGCACTAATGTTGAAGCCACATCTAGTGTGATGTAGAATTAACTGAAAATGCTGCCAGCTGATGTTAACCACAAAGGACACAGCAATCTTTACAGGATCATCTAAGCTCCACTTTCACTTTCTTGCCAAACATTTACACTCTGCTGAAGTTCACGGATGCATGCTGTTTGTAAGAATAGACTGATAATTTCAAAATGTGAGTCACAGGGAAAGCAGAATTCTAGAAAATCCTCGAAGGTAGAAAGGTGCTATACGCCCTAGGTGGTAGCTGCCACAGCCAGTTTTACAAGCGAGGGAAGCGCATGTATCCCACGGAGTTTTGGGGACTTACCCAAGAGTACACAGCCTGAGGAGACATATGTATACATCTTTAGGCTCCATTCGCTAGTTGCATCCCTGGATGAGAAATGCATTGTAAGTAGGTTTCTGCAACTACTATCATTTTGTCACCAAGAGAAGTGTTTGGATATAAGGTTTTGGAAATTTCAATCTCCACCCCCACCCCCTTGGTACCCATGCCAACCATTCCAATGTCTGAGACCTCTAACCCTGTTTTCATTTCCCCCCAACCTTTCTTCTGCTGCCATTCAGGGGACCTTGCTCCAACCATCTGTACGCGACTGTTCTCTTTGCTCCGGATCCTCGTAATCTGTACTAAAGGTCAGTGTTGTTGGCAGGGGTGCGGCTCTGGGAGTGAGTGTTTCATCTGCTCAGCAGTAAATGCAGCAATTGCTTGAAGTTAGACCAATGAAATAGTTTCAGGAAGAGGAGTGTTTTACTGCTGACATTGCGGACGGCATGTGGCACACACTGATGATAAAAAGCAAATTGACTTTTAGTTCTTTAATTTTTTTTTTTTATAGACTCCCATTGCTTCATAGGACACCGACCTGGAATAAAGGACAGAAATCCCCTATGAGCTACTCACATCTATAAGGCTTCCAGTTCTTTGCAAGATGTTCCTTTTTCCTAGGGGGTAGAGAGGCAACATACCATCGTAACATTTTGAAAGCACGTGTACTTAAAAAAAAAAAAAAACCAACAACACTTGAACTTGTGTATGAAATGTAGAGTAGATCTCCAACGATCACAGGGAAAATAGTTTTGGTTAATAGACTGCTGAGGGGGCGCCTGGGTGGCTCAGTTGGTTAAGCGTCCGACTTCGGCTCAGGTCATGATCTCACAGTTCGTGGGTTCAAGCCCCACAACGGGCTCTGTGCTGACAGCCAGCTCAGAGCCTGGAGCCTATTTCAGATTCCGTATCCCTCTCTCTCTGACCCTCCTTGCTCACACCGTCTCTCTCTCTCAGAAATAAATAAAAAAATGTTAAAAAAATTAAAAAAAAATAGACTGCTGAGAAGCCAGTGCCTTAGAGATTTAGCCAGGTCCATATGGGGCATTAAATTTAGTTTGTTCCCATTATCAAAGAACTTTTAGTTTTGCTTGTCTCTGGGCTCATGGAGAAGTGGACATTTTAAGATATTTCAGGTTGAAGCAATGCCATGCAGGTGATAAGACTGTCTAGGTCAAATCTGGACCTTGTGACTTTGCTTATATTCCCTAATCTGGCTAAGCATCAGTTTCTCCATCCATAAAATGGGAATGAATAATAGTGCCGACCATATAGAGTCATCATGAGCTTTAAAATCAGTTGCATAAAGGGCATTTAAAAAGTTGCATAATACGTATATCATTATTCAGTGACCAAAAGATTGTAAATTTTTAATTCTTTTTAGTTTTTAAAAAAATTTTAATGTTTATTTTTGAGAGACAGACAAAGCGTGAGTGGGGGAGGGTCAGAGAGAAAGACACAGAATCTGAAACAGGCTCCAGGCTCTGAGCTGTTAGCACAGAGCCCGTTGCAGGGCTCAAACCCACCAACCCACCTTGATCAGGAGAGATCATGACCTGAGCTGAAGTTGGACACTCAAACGGCTGAGCTACCCAGGCTCCCCATGTAAAATTTTAATTCTTCACAGTGTTTTACTCTGATACAGAATTCAGCATAGTTTCTTTATTTCTCTCAAATAAGGAACATGGGAGCATTCTACGGGTATTTCAGGACATAACCTCACTTCACTGTGGTTGATTTTTATTTAGCAAATCTCTCCAAGGGCACTAGATGGCGACCTTCTCCTTTAAGAAAAAAGGTAACAGACTAAAACTAAGATTCATTAATACTTTTGCTTTGACAGTTGAAACTTACTGCTACAGAGTCCAAAACACACAAAACCAGGGTAAAGCCACATCTTTGCACGCCAGGTTGTCTGAATCATAGAATTTCTAGATTTTCAGGTGTCAGGCTAGGAGCGGAGTGTTAGGGGAAGCACTCCTTTTGTGGGCATTGAGAATCCCTTATCCAAACTTATTAACTTAGGTTGTGACCTTGGACCTTAGCTTTAGACATTTACTTTTTTTTCCCCTTTAGAATGTGACATGATTGGGTTAGATGATCTTCATAGTTGTTTTCAGGTATGAAATGCTATGAATTTTTTCATAATTCAGTGTTTACTCTCCTGTCAGACTATCTTTCCTCAGGTGTTTGTTCTGCTCTAAATTTAATATTTGTTAAGCCGATGGACAAGATTTAATGTCAATATTGCCTAAGTTAAAACCGATGTATTAAAAAATACAGTATATTAAATTATAATTTCGGAACATAGGGGTGAATTTAGGGTTCTGAGGAGTGTGTGTGTGAAATCTTGGTGTACATATTGCTTTTGAAAAAATAGAAGAAATATTTGAATATCTGCATTTAAGATACTGTAAAACTTGAGGGGCGTCTGGGTGGCTCAAGGTGGTTGATACACCGACTTTGGCTCAGGTCATGATCTCACAGTTAGTGGGTTCGAGCCCTGTGTAGGGCTCTGTGCTGACAGCTCAGAGCCTGGAGCCTGCTTCAGATTCTGTGTCTCCCTCTCTCTCTACCCCTCCCCCGATAGCACGCTATCTCTCAAAAACAAGTAACAGTGTTAAAAAATGTATAAAAGATCATGTAAAACTTGAAAAAAAACTGTCCAAGAGTCGTTTTAAAACTGTAGCTCTAAGTTTGAACCTCTGCTAGAATTTTGAACATGATAAAGCTTATTCTAATGTATTGTTTTTAAAATATCACTTATTTTCAGTGTTCCTAAAAGGATTCGTAAGTTTAAGTTGCTAACAACCAACAGGATTTAGAACTCCTTCTCAAAGATGAGTAGATTGGCATCTGGTGTGATTAAGAAGTTCAGCTGCCTGCTTGAAACGTGTTTAATTTAAAATAATCAGACGAGTAGAACAGTAAATAATAAGGAAATCCCCAGAATAATATATTTCAGGATTTATTTATACACCAAAGTATATTCTTAGAAACATTTTACTCTGATACAGAATTAGTTGCAGACAAGGTAGAAAGAATTTTTTAAAAAGTAAGTAGCCATGATTATACTCTGATCTTTCTTAAGGAAAGCTGTGATTTCAGAGCAAGTCCTTGGGTATCTCAGTCTGCAACAGTTTTTTCCTTTAAAAAAAAGATTTACTAATCTGTTGATCATTACCTGAAGACACACTCCTCCCACTGTGGGAGATAAACACTTAAACAGTGATTAATGTTATGAAAACGGTTCTCTGTGACACATACACAGATAAGAAATGTTAGGTATTAGCAAATAGGCTCGAACAGGTAGAAAAATGCCTTTAGCGTAGGGTGAGGGGATGCATACAAAGGTGATACAAATTACAGAAGCAATTTCTCCCTAAACCTGGCACTGGTCGCGTGTGCCAGCCGTTCGGCAGGGCCGGATGCCACTTCACAATCACGGAAGACGATGCAGCGATTTAATTCGGATGCTCGATATACACATTTTAATTGCAGCAGATGAAATAAAATCCAGGCTCCGAGAAGCGCACAATGGAATGGCCTTCCCTTCACCCCGCCAAACATTTGGCTCATTACCTCATGCATATTCATTCAACTTTCCTACCAGCAGCTGACGATTTCCAGTAAAATTTTAGGCCGGAAAAAAAAAAAGTTGGAATTGCTAGTGCCTTGCCTTTGTGAGTTGGGGTCACAACCCCAGGACTTCCCAGTAAGAGAGACACATGCGCGCGCTCACGCACCCCCGCGCCCCCCTACCTTATCCAGAGCAGAAGAGAAGGGAGAAGTGAAAAGCAAGGTGAATTAATGCAGGTTGCGGTCTCAGGGCGGTCCGGTATTTATGAAACCTCTCACCCTGTCTCTCACACACACCCCACAAAGTCTTTAGGCTCCAGTTACAAGCGCTGCGTCATCTGCCAGATCACATGGTGATTGTTGCTATTTCAAGGATCAAGTGGCATCGAGCTCCCCCCACCCCACCCCTTCCCTTTGGTACCATATAGCGTGTCGGAGCTCGCCGGGCGATGGGGTGAGAGCGCGCTCTCTGGTCCACCCAGGCTGTCGGCGGGGCGGCGCGCGCGGGGTTCTCACGGCGCGCCCGGGCGCGGGGACGGGGGAGGGGGTCTCGGGGGAGGCCCGGCGGCTCTAATTGGCTTCTCAATGAAAGATAATCACCTATTCCCCCGAGAGGCTGGGGATTAGCACTCTGCCTCTCCTCCCCGCCGCTCTAGACGTCTCGTCCCTGCCCTCGGAGCTCTCCGTCCGCTCGGCACCAGGGGCCCGCAGCCCGCGGCTCCCGCGCTCGCGCTACTCCGGGGTCCGCGCCCGCCCGGCTTCCCTCGGCGCGCCCGCCGCCCCGGCCCCCGCGGAAACTTGGGCGGAGGGGCCCGGGGGGAAGATGAGCGAGCTGGAGGAGGACTTCGCCCAGATTCTCATGCTCAAGGAGGAGCGGATCAAAGAGCTGGAGAAGCGGCTGTCGGAGAAGGAGGAGGAGATCCAGGAGCTGCGGCGGAAGCTGCACAAATGCCAGTCGGTGCTGCCCGCGCCCTCGCCGCACATCGGGCCGCGCACCACCCGGGCGCAGGGCATCTCGGCCGAGCCGCAGACCTACCGCTCCTTCCACGACCTGCGACAGGCGTTCCGGAAGTTCACCAAGTCCGAGAGGTAGGCGCGGGCCGGAGCCCAGGCCCCGCTCGGGCGGGGGGCGCGCGCGCGGAAAGGGGTGCCCCCGCGGCCCTGGGCCCGGGGAGCGTTTATTTTTATGCCTGGCCGTCACGTGCCGGGCCGGGCTGGCGGGGCTGGGAAAGGCCGGCTCCTCGGGGAGACGCGCGCGGGCGGCGCGGGGGCAGGGGGAGCGCGGAAAGTTTGCTTGCGCCGCGGAGTCGGGGCCCGCACCCGACCGCCGGGACGAAGCCCCGCGCGTCCCGGGGCCGCTGGGGCTTCCCGAGGCGACCCCAGACCCGGGCCGCGGGGCGTGCTCCGGGCGGGGGTGGGCGCTGGGGCGCCGGCGTCCCGGGGAGGGGGCGGCCGGACCGGGTCGGGTTCGGTGCAGGGACCGAATGTGCTCCGCGCCCCGCTGCAGGGGCGTGGGGAGGCGGGACGGGGGCGCGTCTCCGCAGCCCGGATCCGGCCTCCGGGGTGGGGACGGGGAGACGTTTGTTCGCAGGGTCACTCTCCAGGCAGCTGTGATGTCAGCGCGAAACTGCGAGGAAACCCCACTTTGTGGACGTTCGCGCGCCCTGTGTGTGTTCCCCGCGGCAGTGCCACACCTTGGGCTGCCCCGGGGCTCGGAGGCGGCTCGGTGACCTTGTACCTGAGGCGCGGTTGGGGCTCCGGGCCAGCCGCGTCCCAGGGCGGACCGCGCCGCCTGCCTGTTGTCTTCCTTGGGAACCTTTCCGCGGAAAAGNCGGACCGCGCCGCCTGCCTGTTGTCTTCCTTGGGAACCTTTCCGCGGAAAAGGGGGGGGGGGGGAGGGGTTGAGGCGGGAGGGGTGCCTCTCTCTGGGCGCCTCCAGGCTCCTTCCCTTCCTCTCCGGACACTTTAAGAGCCGGATCCTGCCCGTTCAGAGTTGTGTGTGGCTCGTCGGTAGCGCGCAGAGGAGGCCGGGCGACTTTGGCCACAAGTAGGAAGCTTTTGCACTCCACGCGCCGCCTGCACCGGAGAAGGCTGATCGATTGGCTCCAGCATTAAAGCGCCTCTGGACATTAGGGAGAGGAAGTGCAGACTCCCCAGCCCATTACTGGCTTTTAGTCTCTGGAAGTGCGCGGCCGAAAGTGCATTTCGCAGGATATTGAATATTCCATTAGGCGTGCCTTCATGCCCGCCCACCCCTTCCCTCTTCCTTCTTCTTAGATCACTTGGTGTCTGAGTTTGGGGCTCTCAGGGGACCCCTCAATGAGTCCCTCCCCCTTAGCGCTCTGACTTGGAGGCCAGCAGTAGTAAAGCCCGTGTTCTCTTGTCCAGTCTCTGTCCTGGCCACTTCCAGGGCTCTCAGTGGCGCCCACCTCCCCCCACCCCCCTTTGTCTCCCTCCCCTGTGCATTGACGAGTGTTCCCGTGTGGTGGGGGAGGAGAGCACAGGAGGCTGGGCAGGGGTGAGGAGCTGTTAGAAGGGGTCCAGGCGCCGCGAGCGGGCAGGGGAGAGAAACAGGAACCAGGCCGAAAGGATTCGCCTTGGGGACTTTGGGCCCCTTCCGAACCGACGTCCAAGGGGACAGCTTTCACCGTCCCGAGGGACACTCCACTTACAAAGTGACACTCTCCACATGGCACCGTTCGGCTCGGCCTGCCCTGAACCTCCCCGCCCGATGGCATTCTTCCCAGCGTCAGGCCAGGACAGCCAGAGGCCCTCGGATCTGGCCTTGCCCTCGGTGGGGAGGCGGCTGCCCGGGGGCTGAGGCTGCGGCGGGGCCGGGCGCGCATTCCGCGGCCGCTGCCCTGCCCCTCGCTCAGCAGCTGGAATCAATCTGCCCACCTCCTTAAGGAGCCACTTCATCAGCGGTCACCCGGCAGCTGCTGGCCTCCCGGGGCCGGCGGGCCGGCCGGGGCTTTATCGCATTTTTGGCGCATTTTTGGAATTTCAGATCCCCGCTTCTGGGCTGCGCCCCTCCAGGGTAACGGGCGCCCCTTCACAGCCCAGAGGCGGGCTCAGCAGCCTGTGCAGGGGCCCCGAGGAAACTCTCCCCACCGAGTCCTCCCTCATTCGGGAGCTGGCTCTCAGAGGCGCTTTTATTCTCCTGGACCCGGGGCCTCTCCAGCAGTGAGAGTACGTTTTTGTGTGCACTGGGAGGAAATGGCTGATCTTTCCTATGCGCACAGGGTCCTCCCTTTCCTCCCCACCCCCTCCTCCCCGCACTTTGGTGTTAGGGGTCGGAGCCTCCAGGCTGAGCCGGGAGCATGCTCACAGGACGTCAGCGCACGTTTGTGGCTACACGGAGTAGCTGGAAATCCCTCTTACTTCCTCTCTGCTCCGCTAAACGCTGGGATTCAGGGCAAACTTCTTGCCACTGAGCACTTAGGTTTTTATACTTTCAAATGGGGGCCTGGAGTGGATTTTCAGCAAGCTGACTCCCTAGAGTGGAAAGGATTTTGACAGGTACACCCAAGGGCGATGGTAACCCTTGGAATCAGGGTCGCAGCCTAGCACTGAGAGACCCTCACTTCATTGCTGGTGAGACACCTTAACTTGGTTCAAGAACAAGAATGATTGAAAAAGGATCTGTCTGCTACAACACGTAACAGCAAACAAGATGCTTGGAAAATAAAGCACATTATGGGGCGCCTGGGTGGCTCAGTTGGTGGAGCCTCTGACTCTTGGTTTCGGCTAGGGTCATGATCCCAGGGTCTTGGGATCAAGCCCCATGTGGGGCTCTGTGCTAAGTGTGGAGCCTGCTTACGACTCTCTCTGTCTCTGCCTCTGTCTTCCCCTCCCTCTGTCTCACTCTTGTGGGTGTGATCTCTCTGTCTAAAATAAAATCTTTAAAAACGGAATTTTCTACTTTTCCGATACTCAGATTGGGGGACTAGCTATTCCCTCACCTCGTGCAGCCTGTGTAGAAAGCGCAGCCTCCTGCTGACTAACCGGGCCTGACAGAGACTGCATTATTGCAAAGCCAGCGTTCCATTGCATTTGCTACAGGATTTGAGTGATAACTATTCAGGAGTTCATTTCAAACTTTACTAGGACACACAGTATTTAGACGAACAAGAAAGGACATATATTTTGAAATCATAAGAGTCTGGTGGGCAGAAGGAAAAAAAGAGCTTTTGCCTAAAAGCACCATTTTAGAAAATGATGGCAATCTAAAATATTTACATAATAGGTGGTGAAAATATCTCACGCATTTATTGCAGGGGAAGGAAATGGAAGAATTCACTGGCTGTTGTAATCAAGTCGGTCCAATTAGCCAGATCGGCTTCCATGTGTCCACAGAGGGTACAAGGCTCCATCTCCATTAAGAATGATCTAAGTATCCAAGGAATGCTTAGCTGAAAATTATACGAGGGAAAGGGACGGTCTGAGTACTCAGCCTAAGTATCAAGTGTACCATATGATGATCATGTTCAAAAAGAGAACATCCGACTTATTGCAGCCCTCATTTCCAGACCCCATAAAAATGCCCCAGTAGGGATCAAGTGATTATCTCTGAAAACGGGATGGTGTTTTGCATGGCGATGATGATGTCCAGAACTTATAAATCACTTTCTGCCAGTTAAGTCCAAGTATTTCACATTGTCTTCTGTGAACTCTACATTCCGTGCAAGTATATCCTCCACATCAAGGATTACCTAATATCCTTAACTCTTTTCCTTAATTTTTTACACACTGCTAAATTCCTTACTTTGGCTGCCCATTCAGCTCAGAGGACTGCACACAGTTGTTGTTGGTTTTAAATTAGCTTGAGCAGAGGCTGGAATCAATATTAATCTGTAACAGGGACAGTCGATTGTTTTCCAAAGCCATTTGAGCTATTCTTTGTACAAATCCCTTGATTCTGGACGATGTGAATTCATCATTTGGAACTTGAACCTCCTTCCCCTAGGACATGGATGCTTTGGGATGGAATGCCCCAGAAATCTCATTGCTTTTTGCATGTCTAATTCCGTTCAGGTCTGGTTTGACCTTCAGATGAAATCAAGGGATTTGGCCTAATTTTGATATAAGCAACTTCAATGAAATGCTTCAGTGGTACCAATCAAACTCTGGGTACGGCTTATTAATCGTTCATGGAGAAAAGGCACAGTGCTTTAAAATAGCAGGGATAATCATGATCTGGAGGGTGAATCTTAGCAATCTGAGTGCTGCACTCTGGTCTTTCCCTACAGTGGCTCACTCTGTGCTTAAAACAGTCCTAAGTGACCAAGGGGCTTTGCACGTCAGGAGTCTCCGTCATGAAGAAGTTGCTTGCCTGAGATCTCACAGCTAGGAAATGCAAGAGGCCAGTTTCAAGCCCAAGTCTTGAAGTTTGTAGAGTCCAACTTCTAAGCTGCTACACTCTTTCGTGTCAGAATTGGGCAATTTCCATCTTGGTGACCAGTGAGTCCTTTCAGGCAGAAAGAAACAAGCCCTTCCCCCTCCCCCCCAAATTCAAATAGGATTTCTGTGAAAAGTCTTAGAGCCAGCACTGGGATGACCTCCTGGCCAACGAACTCTTGTAACCAGCACGTAGGCTTGGACATGCTCACCAGGCTGGGATTTGCTCTGGTGTCCCTCTTGGGATCGTCAGTTTACCAGTCTTTTCTTTTGCTTCCTTCCTACCCTTCTCATGTCCTAAGCAGGGATCATAAACAGTACAGTTGTGACAGTGATCTGAGTTGCCTCCTGCGAACACCATTCATTATACTCTTTGCCTTTTGCCTTGCAAACCGCTCAGGCTAATCCCTTTGTCCCTTCCAATCCTACCAGCAAAGGGGATTTATTAGTAAGTGACAATATATCAATATGTTACCCAGTTATCTTTGCCGGATTAACATAGTAACAGTTTAACAGCTTCTGGGAGAGGACATTCATTTACTTGGCTCAGATGAGTAATCCTTAAGACAGGAGTTTAAGGGGAGGCAGGTTGAGGAGGGTAGGGAAGGATTTTTGTGCAGAAGGCTTCTCAACGTCCTGGTCACTGGGAGAGGACTTGTTCTGAGCATAGCTTTCCATCCCTCCTTTCGGTC